CCGCGGAGAGGCTCGTCTGTGTCCCCCCGCCCGGGTGTGGGCGCCCCACATGGCCCCGCTGTTTCCCAGGTGCTGAGCGACCGTTCTGCAGCCGAGCCGTCCATCGCCTTTCCAGGGTTTTCTGTCGTAGGCGGTGCTCCGGGCTCACTCTGTGACCACCCCTGAGTGTGACCGACGTGCCGCCTCGGCTTTGAGTCGTCCCGAATCCGGCGGCTGCTACCCTGGTGCTTGGGACGGGACCGAGTGCTGGAGCCCCGAGCTCCTGGGCCTCCGGGGAGGAGGGGAGGGAGCGGCTGCCGGATGCCAGGCCCTGCTCCATTCTCAGGTTCGTCTCACTTCGCGGCGTTGCCGACCTGGTAGTTTGGGGAGTTTGGGGGTCACGAAGGGAACAGCTCTGCTGATGGTGGACACGGAGCCGGAGACGAGTCTAGCTGACGGGGAGCCCTGTGCTCTCAGCCCCTCTTCTGCTGCTTCTCTCCGGGCTGACACCCACCCCATCTCCCAGCACGCTCCAGCGTTTTGGGGACGGTCTGCCTCCCATGCGCCTGCCCCTAGGGAAGCCTCTGCCTCTAGCATGGGATGGGTTGCTGGCCACCAGGAGCCACCAGGAGCCTCCAGGAGCCACAAGGAGCCTCCAGGAACTTCCAGGAGCCACCAGGAGCCTCCAGGAGCCACCAGGAACCTCCAGGAGCCACCAGGAGCCACCAGGAGCCTCCAGGAGCCACCAGGAGCCTCCAGGAGCCACCTGGAGCCACCAGGAGCCACCAGGAGCCACCAGGAGCCTCCAGGAGCCACCTGGAGCCACCAGGAGCCACCAGGAGCCTCCAGGACCTTCCAGGAGCCACCAGGAGCCTCCAGGAGCCACCTGGAGCCACCAGGAGCCTCCAGGAGCCACCAGGAGCCTCCAGGAACTTCCAGGAGCCACCAGGAACCTCCAGGAGCCACCAGGAGCCTCCAGGAGCCACAAGGAGCCTCCAGGAACTTCCAGGAGCCACCAGGAGCCTCCAGGAGCCACCAGGAACCTCCAGGAGCCACCGCATCGGGTGCCACTGGGGTTTCGCGGCCGCTCCTCCAGGAATCATGGTACAAAGTTCCAGACTGGACTCTAGCAACGGTGACAGGATTCGGGGGACCCGCGGCGCGGTGCACCTCTCCCGCGGCCCTGTCTGGCAGCACACAGCCAGAGGGAGGCCGAAGCTGTTGATGCTGCACTTGGGGGACGTGGGTGGGTGAGTGGCCAGCGGACGAGTGAACGCGGTGGGTGGGAAAGACGCAGTCTCAGCCTCCCCGAGGGGACGGGACTTGGGACACGCAAGACCGGGCTTCCTCGTGGTCAGGGCGACTGCGATCCCAGCTGCGACGTCGCACGAGGTGCGCTTCCCGCCGGCCGGCGCCTGTCGACAACCCAGCTGGCTGATGTAGAACATACGGGAGGAGGTCCAAGGGGCGCACGTCGGCCTCCTCAGGACCGTCCCACCCGCCTGTGCCCCTCTGCCGTCGACATCCTCACTGATTGCATCCGGGCACTTGATTCAAGCAACACCCTCCGAGTGGGCGTCCCTGCACACGGAAGAGCCGCTCCCCTCCAGGCCGGGGCGCCTGTGCCCACGCGGCCGGTTGGAAACAGGAGTGACCTGGATCTCCCGGCCCTACTGCTGGCGTCGGGCTGCGGACACAAGCACCTGACCGGGAGGCCGTGTGGCCGGGGCGCCAGCTCCGTGCCTCTTCCAGGGCCCACGGCCGCTGCCCGGCTCGCGCACCTGCCCCAGTTCCCGCCCCCGCTCCTCCTTCCTTCCAGAAACAGGGCGGGAGCCGGACTCGCCCGTCTGGCTTCGGGCCTGGGGTGGGCGCAGGGCTACCGCGGAGCCGGCCGTGCGCGTCCACCCGGTCCCTGCTCTGCCGCCCTCCGGCCCGCGGTGCAGACGCTCCCTCCACGCCCGGGGTCCCTGGAGGCTGTGCGTGCAAATCCTGTCCATCCCGTACTCGGGGCTGTGCCCGGAGGATGGCAGGGCGTGTGTGTCGCACGCTGTGCTGCACACGCTGGACGAGCTGCTTGGCCAGCAAGGGGCACTGTGGGGTCGAGGTTAGGTCGCCGCTGGCCACTCGTCCGTCGGGGAGAGGACAGCTTTGGAAGCAGAGGCAGGGGGCCAGTCTGTCGGCAGAGAGGCGCCCGGAAGTTGGCGCGTCCGGTCCTGGAGGCGGCGGTGGGGACGCGGCGGGACGCGGGACACGGCGATGGCGGGAGGACTTACAGAGCTCGGGCTGCCAGGGGAGGACCACGCGGCCTCGGGGCCACTCCCATGCGGACACGGCAGCCGAGTCCTCCCGCGCCGGCTGCTGGGTGCACATGAGCACGTGGGGTTGGGCTGGCAGCGTTGGGGGCTCACAGCTCCGCAGGCTTCCTGCCTGAGTGCTGCGTGAGGCCTGGGGAGCATCAGGGGTGACAGGCTCCACGGGGGACCGTGCCACGGGTGCGCCGCGGGAGGCTTCCCAGAGGGGACGCACTCGGGCTGAGCGTCAAGTGCCGAGGGTCCGGCCGATGCTGAGCCCTCCCCGGGGAACGGGACAGCACACGCGGCGGCGGAGTGCAAAGCCCATGTCCGCGTGGAGCCGCGCTTGGCTCGCGAGGGGCCGGCCGGGCTTTGGTTGGCTGCGTTGTCGCCAGCCAGGTGGGTGGCCCGGGGCCCAGCAGGAGGTCTGTGTCGTGGGCTGGGGCCCACCCGCAGGCCCACAGGGGTCCAGTAGGTGAGTGTATTCCCGGGATCTGTGACCAGATCGGGGAGCTCGGCTCAGAGGGGACCCTTCTCCGGTGGGTCGGCGGCGTCCACGTGTCCTCCGAGGGGATGGGGGTCTGGCCTCCTGCGTGGGCCACCGGGCTCAGCGTGGGGCTCGGCGGGGCTGGACCCCTGTGCGAGGGCGGAGCCGGGCCAGTGGCCGGAGGTGAGGTCGGAGCATGATGTGCGCGCCTGGGAGGGTCCTGCCTCTGAGCCTCAGCTCATGTGTGGGATTCATTTATTTGAGAGACGGAGGGAGGGAGGGAGGGAGGGAGGGTCGGAGGGAGACAGGGAATCCCAGACTCCGGCTTGACCCCGCGACCCCGAGGCCATGACCTGAGCCAAATCCCGCTCAGCCGTTCGAGCCCTGAACCACCTGCTGCCCCCCACCCCCCGCCACCTCATGGTCTTGAGACATCGACGTCCGAGCCATTGGGGCAGGATTCCTACACGTCCTGCGGCAGCAAGACTCCCCGGGGACCTTGATAGGGTTGCAGAGCCTCCAGGGAAAGAGGCTCCGGCCGGGACGTGTGTGCCCAGGCCTGTCCTCCCAGGTGCCCTGCCCAGTGTGGGGCTGCGGGCCGAGGCCCACTCTGTCACGCCGCCCGGCATCTGCGTCCTTTGGAGGCCTGGCCGCCCCTTCCTTCGAGGCCCCACAAGCTTCCTGCGTCCCCACAGGGCAGCCTGGGCCATGGCGCCAGCCTGTGCCCCTCTCTAGGACAGACCCCAGCGATTCCGGGCCCCCTTGTTCCTCTAGAACGACCGTCCCCTCCGGCTGGGCCGCCCTTGCCTGGCCCAGGGCCCCCACGGGGCTCTGACGCGCCAGGAACCCCACCTTTCGACCTGCACAGCCTTTCCCTGTGGTGCCTGCTACCTAGTCCACCTTCGGGGGGGGGGTTGTTGCGGGTGGGGGGGGCCGCAGAGGCCCTGCCAGGAGCAGGGGAGCCCGTGGTGCCCGCCACCCTCCTGGGAACCGCAGCCCCACTGCGTCCAGACAGACGGGCGTCTGCTCCCCAGGCCCTGGGTCTCCCTCACACCCGTGCACACGCCCACCCACACACGCACACAGCCGCACCGCCCTCGCACTCGGCACCCACTCGCAGCCCGACCGGCTACGGGCCAGAGCCGGACCACGGCCCTGAATCCCGCCCAGCTGAGCCCCGGCCCCGAAGCAGCCGGGCGGGGCCGTGCAGGTCTGAATTCTCCTTTGTGGCGGCCGTGAGCGCGCGTACCCCCGGGGGCCCAGGCCCTGCGCAGGACGCCCGGCTGCACCCCCCACGCGCACATGCACGTCCACTGTGTTTCTGCGTTGCAGCTTCTGCCTCTGTTTCCCCTTTGTCCTGCCTCAACCGCCAGGAGACATCACTCCCCTCGTGTTTTTTTTTTTTTTCTAAGTCGACTATGGTGTATGTATATATTTTTGTATATGTTTTATTGGAGTTCGGTTTGCCAACATATAGCATAGCACCCGGTGCTCTCCTGTCAGGTGCCCCCCTCAGGGCCCGTCCCCCACCCCCGTCCCCGCCCACCTCCCCTTCCACCACCCCGTGTTCGTTTCCCAGAGTCCAGGACAATAAATAATCGGGCAGGGGCGGCGGCGGGCGGAGCCGGCGGGAGGGCGCGGGGCTCGGCCGATGGGGCAGCGGCTGCAAGTGCGGGGGACAGGGCCAGCAGGTCCGGGAGAGGCCGTGGTCACCAAGGTCACCCAGCGGGAGGGAGCCCCATGCGCTCGGTGGGACCGCACCTACCGTCCCCTTCCCCAGGGCGGCCTCCTCAGGACACGTGGCCCCGAGGCTGTCCTGGGACGGCCCCACCAGGGACCTCCTCCCTCACCCCTGCCCCCGCTCTGCTCTGCCATCCACCTCTGTGGGGGGCAACTGGGGGAGGGAGGACCTGCATGTACCAGGTGGGGGGGGGCGTGTGCACCAGGTGGGGGGGCAGGGGCTGTGTGCACCAGGTGGGGGGGGGCGTGTGCACCAGGTGGTGGGGGGCGTGTGCACCAGGCGGGGGGGCAGGGGCTGTGTGCACCGGGCCGGGGGGTGGCTATGAGCACCAGGCTGGGGGGGCTGTGTGCATTGGGCCAGCGGCCAGTGACACGCAGCCTCCCGCTCGGCCTGGGGCCGGAACCTGTTTGACGTCGTAACACACCTGGGCATCCGCAGGGGGCCGGGGGGGGGGCGCGGTGGGGGGGTGGGCACACCGAGTCTGACCCCGCCTCTGTTGCAGGTGTCTCCGTGCGAGCGCTGCCGCTGCGAGGCCAGCGGGGAGGTGCTGTGCACAGTGTCCGCCTGTCCGCAGACGGAGTGCGTGGACCCCGTGTACGAGCCGGACCAGTGCTGCCCCATCTGCAAGAACGGTAGGCCCCGTGCCCGGCGCACCCGAAGCCCCAGAGCCACCCCTTGCCACCCCCCGCCGCCCCCAGACCCCGTGGGGGCCTCGCGCCTTCCCCCGAACCCCCTCACCCTCCAGGGCCGCGCCCTCCCCGCATGTCCTTCATCTGCTGCCCCCCTCCCCCCGTGGGGCCGCCCCCTGCAGTCCCCTCACTCAGGTTGGCTGCCTGCTTCCCGGGGGAGGAGGGGTGTCTGCGTGGGAAGGCTTGAACCCCTGTCTACCAGCCTCACATGCACCCCACATGGCCGCTGGGCTGCAGGGGCCATCAGAGCTGTCCCCGGGGCGACGTGCTCCCCGCGGGTGTCAGCCCGTGTCCCTGAGCTGTCAAGGGGTGTGCTGGGGAGAAATTCAGTTTCCAGAGTGCGGAGAGTCACTTATTTTAATTTAACTTTGTTTGCTCTTTGCAAAGCAGTTTTTCTCTTTCCAAGACAAATCAAACTTGCCGGTTGGGCTCATTTACTTTTCATTACTAAGTGAATTAAACTTGGGACGTAATTGAATATTTTTCATAAGTAAATCAGGCAGGAGGAGAACCCCTCTGCAGCGAGAGCCAGTGGCAGAGCAAAAGCCTCAAGGATGTCCTTGATCACCGCTGGCTCGGGGAGCGCACTGCCTCATCCTGGACACTGGGAGTTGCCTTGTGTGTGGAAGTGCCGAGCGCCGCGTGGGCCTTCAGGGGTTTGAGTCCCTGCGAGCAGGACGGGGTGTCCGTGGCCCCGGGACATGGCGCTGGGACTTGAGGTCGAAGCCACAGACTGGCTCCCAACAATGCAAGTGATTCCCCAGCCCGAGCAGGCGGGAGAGGGGTGGCTGTGTCCGTAGGTGGCTACCTCATCACCCTGGGGTCGCGGGGCCCCTGCGATCGGGCTGTGAAGGTGGCGGGTGATGACACAAGGCTGTTGGTGCCTAAGAGGAGCCTGAGCTCTGCAGTCAGGCCGTTGGAAGCCGAGGGGCGCAGAGGCCCTGGTGCACGCAGATGCTGTGGGCTGCGGGGCCTGGGGGTCCAGGGCCTGTGGATGCCCTGCAGGGGGTACATGCAGATGCTGGGGGTCCAGGGGGTCGGGGGAGCCGTAGAGGCCCTGCAGGGGTTCATGCAGATGCCAGAGGCTGCGGGGGCCGGGGGCCAGGGGCCAGGGGCCGTGGATGCCCTGCAGGGGTTACATGCAGATGCTGGGGGTCAAGAGGGTCGGAGGGGCCGCAGGGACCAGGGGCCAGGGGCCATGGATGCCCTGCAGGGGGTACATAGATGCTAGGGGCCGGGGGGTGCCCTTCAGGGGTACACGCAGATGCCAGGGGCTGCGGGGGTCACAGGGGCCGGGGGGCCGGGAGTCGTGGATGCCCTCCAGGGGTACATGCAGATGCCAGGGTCGGGGGGGTTACCCCTGAAGGTCTCACCCCCGGTGCACGGTGCAAGGGGCCTGCGGGTGCCGGTGGGCCCCTGAGATCCGGGCGGCGCGTGTCCAGGCTGCGGTCCCTGCTCGGAGGCAGGGGCGTGCACTGCACAAGTAACCTGGCGGGGAGTCCGCGCTGTTTCGTGAGCGGCTTACCTGGGGGCGCTCAAATATTCGGTTTCTTAAGAATCCAAGATAGCGTGTGTCTCTCTCGCCAAGCGCGGTAGGACACTAAGTTTGGGCATTAAAGAGGGAGTCTGGGCGTTTCCAAAAGATGGAAGATGCGATGTCAGCCTCTGAGGAGGTCCTAATCCTTGGAACTTGGTAAAGGTTTGACACCCACAGAGAAGCTGGACCGCCTGGACGGTGCCCAGGTGTGTGCCCTGCACTGCAGTTACCTTTCACGACCCTTTTGCCGTTTTTGCTTCATCTCTCGGGTCCCTGTCCTTGTCCCTGCTCCTCCCCGTCTCTGGGCATAACCCAGCGCCCTCAGTACATTTACTTCGTCGCTCTTTCCCGTCATACACCCTGGAGACCTTCCGTTTACACCACCCCTCGCACGAAGCCTACACGGTGCATTTCCAGATTTTTCTTTGCAGCTTTTTGCTCTTAGGATTTATCCCAGTTAAGGCACAAGAGTCAGCTAACGATGTTTAGAAATCATGTAAAAAAAAAAAAAAAAGAAATCACGTGGATTAATTCTTTTTTTCTCATCCCCATGACGTTGGTTTTATAAGTGAAAGTTTGTGCCTCTTGATCCCCTACACCAGTTCCTCCCAGCCCCACCCCTTCCCCTTGGCGGTCACCAGTCGCTGGTTTGTTCCCGAATTAACTCCTAATTGGTATGCGCATGTTAAAGTTTCAAGGATTCTCACTTTGAGAGAGGGCTGGGCATGGAAAGAGGCAGGATTTGGGGGATGGCATATTAGAGATTCTTAGAAGGAGCTTAAATATGTTTTTTAGAACCAGATTCAAGAAGGATTACAGATTATAGGATTTGTATGAAAAGGCTTGATCCAATTATGTCAAAACATCAACAACTTCTTACTTGCAGGAGTACCAAGTAGAAAGAAGTTTAAATGTGCCCAATGGTATAAACACTAATGAGTTTCAGCATATTCACAGATGCAACGGGGCTTTCTGCCGGCTACAGATAGCATTCTGACCCCGACAGGGTGGATGGCCTTGGGATTCTTACCAAAAGGTTGGCTTGAAAAATGAATTTCTGTTGAACGTGACAGCTCTGTAATAATTAACTGAGTTTGGCGACTCATTTATGGTAGTCCATCCCTGCCACCCGCACACGGAAAACAATGTTTTCGTAAGAAAATATTACACGTGGACTCACAGATTATAAGACATCAAAAACAATGCCTTACGCAAAATGAAATGGGTGGATATTCAGTCTGGGTAGACTACGAAGGCTGAAATCCCGATCTCAGGAAACAGGCCTCTCCTCTGCATCCTCTAGTGTCTTGACCTGTCGCGTGAAATCCTTCCTTCTCCCGACGGAGGGAGAATTGGAGATTGGTTGCCAGCTGCCAACGTCACCTGCCTCAAAGGAGCAAAAGTTTGAATCCGAGAATGCGTGAGATATAAATAAATGATCACAACTCAAGTACGACTTCATATATTCACTTTGGTGACTTGTATAGTTCAGTCCCCCGGGGATTTTCTTTTGATAAAATGGCTTGTGTGGCGCTGCCTTTTTTTTTTTTCCTTCTTCTTTTTCCCAGTGATACAAACAGCAAATGTGATTTATATGGATTTTTCAAGGTTTCGGGTTTGCTCTGGCGACAGGTGTGCTCGCAGGGGGGTTCCCAGCACTCATCCCACCCAAGCCCCTTAGTCTCAGGACACTTGTGATGTGAGAGATCAGGAGACTCTGCTCTGCACCTGGGCACGCTCTTCCTTCGTGCATGCAAGCAGGGCACGGCCTTGACTCTGTTGGGATCAGCTCTGGTTCTCTAAAGGGGAAGAGCACACCCAAGGGGGCATGAGGCATTTCGAGAGCACCAAGGCCCTGAGTTTGAAGACTGTACATGTGCAGTGTCTCTGCCACGAACAATACAGTTGACCCTTGAACGACATGGGTTTAAACCATGTGTGGGTCCACTTATTTGCAGGTTTTTTTTTTCCCCAATAAAGAAAGGACAGTTCTATAAATGTCTTTTCACTTCCTCATGAATTTCTTAACATGTTCTCTTCTCTAGCTTACTTTCTTGTAAGAGTACAGAAAATAACACATACAGCATACAAAATACCTGTTAATCAATTCTTTGTGTTATTGGTAAGACTCCTGGTCAACCCTAGGCCGTGAGTAGTTAAGTTTTCGGGAAGTCAGAAGTTACACACAGATTTTTGACCGCACAGCAGTCAGTACCAGAAACTCCTACACTGTTCCAGGGTCGACTAGTTACTTGCAGCTTTATTTCCACAAGAAAATAAATATGGCTTTTTGGGGAAGGAAATGAAGACTTTTATAAAAAGTTTTTAAGAAAAACATCTTATTATTTTTTTTATTTTTGAAAGATTTTATTTATTTATTCATGAGAGATGCAGAGAGAGAGGCAGAGACACAGGCAGAGGGAGAAGCAGGCTCCATGCAGGGATCCCGATGTGGGACTCGATCCCGGGACCCCAGGACCACACCCTGGGCTGAAGGCGGCGCTAAACCACTGAGCCACCTGGGCTGCCCAAAAAATATTTTATTTTTAAGAAAAATACTGAGACTTCAAAGCACTAGGAGCCTTCCATGAAAAGCACATGAGAAACAAAGACTAAGAATTTGGGTTTTCTGTTTTTTTGTTGTTGTTCTCTCACGTATTTCAAGTGGGATAAGATCATAATTAAACCACATGTGGTGAGTTGGACAGTACCAAGTGGTGCGTGTGCATGTGCGTATGTGTAAGAGAGAGAGAGAGAAGGAGAGAAATTCCTATCAAGGTCCTTCTCACAAGGAAAAACCTACTCTCATTTGACCTCATCACTGAATCTTTCCAAAATCTTTACCAAAGAAATAGTACCAATATTATGGAAATGCTTAGATGACATGGTTTTCTCCGTCAAAGATATAAAGAACACTACAAATATCAGAATTAACCCTTAATACAAAGTCGTTGTACAAGGTCAATGTGCAAAAATTAGCCATGTCTCTATACACCAGCAACCGATAGAATGACTTCAAAACTAATCTTTAAAATAGCATCATACATATGAAATATTGTACCGTGTTCGTAATTGGGAGACTCAATAATGTAAAAATTGTCAGTCTGTCTCAGAGGAAACTCTTGGTTCAGCACGATTTCAGTAAAAATGAAACCCAATGATTTTTGGGTATGTGTGTGGATGTTAATATTAACATTGATGTTAATAATTAATAATAAATAATTAGCATTAATATTAACATCCAAAATAATTGTAAAATCCACACGGAAATATAAAAGTTAAAGGCTAGCCAGGAAAACAGCAAAGCTGGAAAATGTATGCTACAAAAGTAATGAATATACTGTGATACAGTCTTGAAGATAAAACGATTGATCAGTGAGAGAAGAACGGAATCAGAAAGGACCCA